AAACGTTGGTTCCTAGTTCAAGGCCCAATGTTAGGGGCTCCTTGTCGTCGTGTAACGCTAATGACAGATGCCTCTCTCACGGGCTTGGGGGCGGTCATGAGTTGCCGCTCTGCCCAGGGTCTGTGGGAAGGCCATCATCTCACTCGGCACATCAACTGCCTGGAGATGCTGGCCGTGTTTCGAGCTCTGACACATCCTGTCGAGACAGGGGCTGAGGCCTGGGGGATGGAGGCTCCACCCCGAGGTGGTGGAGCTCATTTGGAGGGAATTTGGCCAGGCGGAAGTGGATCTATTTGTGTCGCAGGGAACAACACACTGTCCGCTCTGGTTCTCCCTCACTGGGGCTGGATGCCATGGTGTAGACGTGGCCGAGGCTTCGTCTGTACGCCTTTCCCCCGATCGTTCTGCTACCGGGAGTTCTGGAGAGAGTACTCCGGGATGGGGTCCGTCTTTTGCTAGTAGCCCCGTTCGGCACCATTCTTCACCCCCAGCCCGGAGTTATGGAAGTTGTGGGTGTGGCCCCTGATGGGGCACATCGCCTAGCATCTGGTCTCTCAACAGGGGTTGTTGAGACTATACTCCAGTCCAGAGCTCCTGCCACGAGGAAACAGTACGCCTTGAAGTGGAAGCTTTTCACTTCATGGTGCGGACAGCGACTGCAAGACCCAGTCAACTGCCCAATTGGTACAGTTCTGGAGTTTCTGCAGGAGCGATTCTCCGCAGGATTATCTCCCTCCACTCTGAAGGTATACGTGGCGGCCTTAGCTGCTTACCACGCCCTTCTGGGTGGTCAATCATTGGGAAGACACCCACTTATCACTCGTTTCCTCCGTGGCACCCTGAGGCTGAGGCCGGTACAGCGCACTAAGGTGCCATCATAGGAGCTGGCTGTGGTTCTGGATGGCTCATGCAATGCCCCCTTTGAACCCATAGGAGAAGTTTCAATCAAGTTTCTCACTCTCAAGACTATCTTTCTCCTCGCTATTTTCTCACTTAAAAGGATCGGGGATCTTCAGACACTTTCTGTTTCATGCCTGGAATTTGCTCCAGGCATGGTTAGGGCATTCCTTTACCCGAGGGTCGGGTATGTCCCTAAGGTGCCCACTTCTTCGCTAGGGCCCATAGTACTTCAGGCATTCTGTCCTCCTCCGTTCGAGCACTGGACGCTTACGCACACAGAGCTGCCCCGTGGCGTAAGGCAGATCAGCTGTTTGTTTGCTTTGGTCCGCCAAAGAAAGGATCTCAGACGACCAAGCAGACTATGAGTAGGTGGGTGGTCGAGTCCATCTCACTAGCCTACGAGTCCTCTGGCCTCCCGTCACCTATGGGGGTCAGAGCGCACTCGACCAGGAGTATGGCGGCCTCCAAGGCTTTCAACTTGGGTGTGGCCTTGCAGGACATTTGTGCTGCGGCGGGCAGGTCCTCTCCGCACACTTTTGTCCACTTCTATAACCTAGATCTGGCATCTACCCCAGGTTCCCAAGTTCTCTCTTCGTGATGTGCTCATGAGATACACACACAGGCAGGGACTTGGTAGTATGGCGCAGTGGGTATTCTCGTTCCCAAAGTGATTCTCGATGCAGCTCGAGTTCCTGAAGGGGAACGTCTCTAGGTTACGTATGTAACCATGGTTCCCCGAGGGAATGAGACGCTGCGTCTCTTTGCCATACTCCCTGCATCCCTGCAGGCGCTACTTCATCGAAGCTAACTTGCACTCTGCAAGTTATACTTCCTGGTGTCTCGTCTCGTCTCGTCTCGTTCCCTCGGGGAACCATGGTTACATACGTAACCTAGAGACGTTTTACTTTAAAGGATTCTTAAGGACTTAAAAGATTCATTTTGTTTTAATAGTGTGTTTGACAGTTTGCATTTAAGTATATTTTATATACTTTATATAAATACCTATATATTTTATAGTAGACTATTTATGTAATATGTACTCTTTTTAAAAGCTGTGTAAAAATAAGTGTACCTTTTTCACAAGGGTTAACTATGTCATATTATGTGTGTATGCATATTTTAAAACAAAAACGTGAAAACATTTATGATGTAATACATGCACATATGAAAACATATATCACCCTTGAAGTAATTAAGTATTGAATATGGAATTTGTTTCTGTGATGTAGAACATGAAATCCATTTTTATGGCCATTTAAGCAACATGATGATAAACACACAATTCATCCATCCTTTTTTTTTGTAACTTACAATATTCTTGGTCGTGATTGTGAATCAGTATTTTTATACAGATTTTTTTTTTCAGCTCTCATACAAACTATGGGAATAATGGGGCCCATGTTTGGATTCATGTTAGGATCTTTCTGTGCCAAGCTCTACGTGGACATAGGAGCAGTGGACTTAGGTATTCCCCTGTTTGTTCAACTGATAATGGCTCTTTGCCCTACACTGATCATATGATGTTGTTTTGCACATTTCTAGAAAAAAAAATCCCAGCAACCTTTTTTTGAAGGTATTTAACACATATAAACTAGCATTTGTACCTTCAATTTTATTATGTCATAGTTGCTTGTTGCATGTGAATTATGTGAAAAGTAGATGTTTGTCTTTTAGTCTAATCGATTGACAAGGTCACTTTTACAAATTTGGTTGAAAAGTTTAACTTTAAAAAAAGCACCCTGAATACACAAGAGAATAACTCCGCATTAACACACTATTGCCTTAAGTCAGTAATCATGATTTTTAATAACTATGATAACTAGTCTTCTATATATTTACTGACCCAGTAAGTTACCCTTTGACTTAAGAGGTCTTCGGTCCTACTGTTTGTTAGGATTTCAAGTTATAAGCACTTCTGGCTCATTTATGAAAATGAGCACGTCTTTTTTTTTTTTTTTGAAGATACCATCACTATCAACCACAAAGACTCACGTTGGGTTGGTGCCTGGTGGCTGGGCTTTTTGTTTACTGGTGGAGTGATGCTACTGGCCGGAATTCCCTTTTGGTTCCTCCCCAAGTCTCTTCCTAAGCAGGGTGAGACTGAAACTGTGAAAAAATCTAATGTTGTAGAGGGCGAGCAGGAGCGTTTCATTCCTGACAACAACAAACACAGCAATGCTCCCGACAAACCAGCTCCAGTTTCCATGGCAGCTCTGGCTAAAGGTGTGCATTTCATCAAATATTTAATTTTGATTTTTTTTTTCATGAGGTTTGGTTATTGAGCCAACATACTGTAACCCTTGAACTTCCGTAAAGTTCTTGATATTTTCTAGATTTTCTGCCATCACTGAAGAAACTCTTCAGCAACACAATTTACATGACCCTCATTATCACCACTATCATACAAGTCAATGGTTTTATAGGACTGATAACATTTCAGCCAAAGTACATGGAGCAAACTTATGGCCATTCAGCATCAAGGGCCATATTTTTAATAGGTGAGTTTACATTTGCCTATGTTTTTATCTGTTTAATATTAATTTCCAGTATGTCAAAATACACATAGTGAAGCCTTTATACAAAAGGAGTGCCACTTGTGGTCCCTCTTATTCAAATATGTAAAAAAAAAAGAAAAGAAAATTTCACAAAAATCATCTGATGCCAACAAAAAGGCCTGTACCCAGCCCTGAGTTTCTGAATATCCATTGCTTTTTATTGATATGCGTTATTAAAAAGATTTGAGGTTATGTGCCCCCAGGAAGAGCTGGGTAGATTACTTACAAATTGTAATCCGTTACTGATTCCAAATTACATGACAAAAATTGTAGTTAGTAACGTAATCCATTACATTACACATTTTAGGTAAAATAATCGGACTACTTTTAAATTACTTTTAGATTAATTTTGACCTATCTTGCTTTTCACGCTGATTTAAATAGGATAATCTTGTACCACATTGAAATAAAAATACAAAGATTATGATAATATATTCCAATTGTTATCAACAACATGAAGTGCATTAAACATTATATTACGTCAAGGTTTCCCAAACTGGATTTGTGAAGGAACTGCAGGGGTTTTATGAGTTTAATGAAAAGCTAATAATTAAAAAAAAAAAAAACATTAATTTTAAATTACACTTTAAAATGTAGTTACCCTTCAGAAAGCATATTCATGTCCAATACTGTTTCAATTTATTAATTTATTCATCTTTTGTCTTTCCAGGAGTTTCAAATTTACCAGCTTTGGCTTTGGGAATTGTCACTGGGGGGTTTATAATGAAGAAGTTCAAACTTAATATTCTTGGAGCATCCAAGTTCTGCATTACAGCATCTCTTCTGACTTTCTCTGCATTGCTTGTTCAGTATTTCCTGCAGTGTGACAACTCACAAGTGGCTGGACTTACAGTGTCATATCAAGGGTAAACACTCCAGAAATATTATTACAATTCAGTGTGTTTGTTATCATCATTCTCTCTGGCAGCTTTGAGTCAGTGGAATGATGGAATTAATGTATTGCATCTTTTATGTTCTTATGTTCTGTTTGGCCACAGAGGCTCCATTTCTTAGTGTATAAAAACAACAATGGCAATTTTGACATTAACTTCTTTCACTGCAAATTTTATACACTACTGGTTAAAAGTTATCAGTTAATAGTTATCATTTTCAGTGTCATCAGTGTCACATGATAATTCAGAAATTTTCTAGCATTATATTCTGATTTGGTTCTATAATAATATTTTACAATATTTCTGTACTTGTCACAGTTTCAGTCTGTTTAGTTTCTTTACATTCTTGTTTTAATATTCCAAAAGAGGATGGATATCCCTGCTGTTCACCTGCTCCTCCCAGAGCAGAGGGATCAGTCCCTCGATGACCACACATGGCACTTTTTAGATCTGGCGTACCTGACACACTATCCATTTGAATGCACGCCTCCCCCTGTACAGTCCTCAGGGGGGCCTTTGCCGCTTTGTGGAGTCAGTACTGGCAAGCAGCAGATCTCTTTTCACCATTTACCCAGTGGAGGAAGACCCCACCAGCCCTACTCCAGACCCAGAGCCCAGCCAGTTGCCTTCCACACCCCTCATGGACAAAATTCCTGAGACCAGCGCAGACAAAGAGCTCGAGCCTGTGCCTGTGACAGTCATTGCCCCGTAGCCCATGTTCAACGAAAATTCTGACCATGTGTGTGAGCCAGCAACACTGTACGCCACAGAGGGTATTCTTGTGGAGTTTGAGCGAATTAATTGGAGCACAGCCCATACTCCTCCTGCTGAGGGGGAGTTGCGTTTGGCCTCTGTACTATTTTATGAGGATTTAGTAGGGGCAATTCCCCAAAACCTTCCTTCCCCACTGGTTCCGTCCAGCCCTGAATCTCCTGTGACTCCAGTGGTCCCGCTCAGCTCAGAGTCTTCTTTATTGTTGAATTCCTCCTCCTTTTACTAAGCTTCCCAGATCTTCAGCTAGGGCTTCATTCACCCCGACCATTCTGCTCCTCATTGGCTCCACACACCAATAGCTCCAATGGGATCTGTCAGTTCTCATACACCACCGGGCTTCACCTTGTTTAGTTGTTGACCTGCCTCCACCCTGAACTAACACTCCCCTGGCTATGCCACGTCCCTCCATCCCTCTGGTTCTGACAGGCTCCTCTTTCCCTCCAGCTCCACTTTGGTCCTTACTTCCTCTGGATCTGCCCTGGCCTGGCTGCAGCTCTGGCTCAGGCATCCAGGCCTCCAGTGTCACCCTGGGTCTTTGCCTCCTCAGTTTTGCATTGGTCACCACCAACCCTGGCTCCACCTCAACTGGGCAGATTCCAGTATCCACCCTGGCTTCTCCCTCCATCAGTTCTGCCATGGGACTTCATCCTGGCTGTGCTCTGGGTCTTTCTGCTCTCTTCCCCCCAACCCCGTGATCTCCTGTGGTTCCCTGCACTTTGCCAGCTAATCATTCACTAATTATTCATTAGTTTCCACGGTTTTAGTTCTCTGTGCTCCCATTCTTATCATGTAATGGTTACTGATTTGGTTACCTTATTATTGATTCCTTTCACCTGTGTCCCATCTTGTTTCCTTTGGTAGTTCTGTGTATTTAAGCCCTTGGTTTTCCTCAGTTCCTTGTCCTGCATTAACATTGCTTGTTTTGGTTAGCGTTGCTTTATTCCTGTTCCTGTATTCTCCTGAGAGTTAATTTGCTAAAGACTATATATGTGACCCGTGCTGGCAAAATGAGTCGGAATGCGCATGGTCTGATTTTGAACTACAGACAAAAAAAAAAGTGAAAAATGTCAATTTTGGTTGAATTTGAGGTTTTCACAAAAATTAGTTCATTAAGCCCTCGTCTAGCATTCTCAATGCTCCAAATAGCAATTAAACATCTAAAATTATCTTTCTTTGCAGGTTTTCTGAGAGGAGTACCTTTTTCTCTGTTCACTTCTCGTGCTGCCGCTGACTGATATATGAATTGCGCATATAACAGCGCTTCCGCCAGTGCGCGATCACGATAAATATACACTGTGTACTGTATACTGTATACACAGAATTACAGTATTTAAGTAGGCTATTCACGCAAACATAATCTGTTATGTCTTAAGTGAACATTTGGAGAACTGTTGGGGAAAAATATCGGATGTGTAACATTATATTAGATCTTATTTATCTTATTATTATATTTAATCTAACAATAGGCCTATAAGAAAAGTTCGCTAGGAAAATTAGTAGGAGCTAATTTGGTTCTCGAAAAAGGCAGTCCGGTACTAAAATCGCACCCAGTTCCGGCGGCGCCAAAAAGTGGGTTGTTCCACAATTAGTTCTGGTACTATGAAAAGGTTCCCGCAGTGCGAAAGTTTTTGACAACATAATCCAAATAAAACGGTCATTTCCAGACAAAGCATTATGAAATCATTTACTTACAATTAGGGTTGTGACGGTGAGGAAATTTTCCCACCGGTTAATCGACGTGTGACAACACCGGTAATACCGGTATCACCACGGGGGCGGGGCGTTCCCTCTTTTCCTCGCTTTCCTTCGCTTTTAAATAGCTTGTAAAAGTAGCTTGTGCCCATTTTACTTTCACTTTCAAATTGCGGCAATTCGGAGTAAAGCAATTGTTCGTTTTTAGTTCGTTTGAATTTTCCCTCTTTTCCTCGCTTTCCTTCGCTTTTAAATAGCTTGTAAAAGTAGCTTGTGCCCATTTTACTTTCACTTTCAAATTGCGGCAATTCGGAGTAAAGCAATTGTTCGTTTTTAGTTCGTTTGAATTTTCCCTCTTTTCCTCGCTTTCCTTCGCTTTTAAATAGCTTGTAAAAGTAGCTTGTGCCCATTTTACTTTCACTTTCAAATAGCGGCAATTCGGAGTAAAGCAATTGTTCGTTTTTAGTTCGTTTGAATTTTCCCTCTTTTCCTCGCTTTCCTTCGCTTTTAAATAGCTTAAAAGCGCCATGCACATTTTACTTTCACGTTTGAATTAGCGGCAGTTCGGCGTCAATTGCTTGAATGCAACAACAAAATACAACGTCAAACTCACTTTAGCGTATATATAAAACATATTAACTTTTATTAACAAAAATAAAAATATACCATGCTATAGGGCAAGCTATGCTTAATATAAAATAACAAATAACTTGAAAACTGGAAATAAATAAACATGTATAATATATAACCAAATAAATAAGAAACGTAAAACGTTTATTAGCAAAACGAATGTCAATTAAAATAAATAAATGACACAGTTTAAATAAAGTAAAAATCAGTACCAATTAAATAAGAAACGAATGTTTAAAAAAA